TCCAGATTCAATCCCTCAAAAACCATTAACCTCAGTAGCAAATCACTTGCCTCATTGCGTACGTGGGTCATACTTGTTGGTTCCTGCTAATTGTTAGTTCCAATGCTCATCTGCCCTCGCAGATATCAATATACCTGCGTGTTTCTTCATACAGCTGAGGGTCCAGCGACCCCTTCATACTCTCCTTGTCTTGGCATACTGGTCCTCGGCGTGCTGGTCTTGGGTCCTGGATTCTGGTTCCAAGGTCGGGTCACTAGTCGGTCATACCACAGGAACGCGATGTCTCCCTTCGCCCTGGCCTCCCTTAACCTCGGCATCAACTCCCTTCTTCTCTTCCTCACAGACTCGGTGTAATCTTCATTTATATAAATATTAGGTCCTTTAAGCTTCTTTGCTTGTTGCAGTATGTGTGCCTTATCTTTCTCTTTCATCAACTTTACCATCACCGCCCTCGGTCCCCGATCAGAAGGTTTCCCGACTCTGTGAGCCCGCTCCATCTCAATTTCTTGATGAATTTGCAGTTTCTCCTTTAATATTTCCTTCACCTTACATTCCGCTTCCGTCCAGCTTTCTCCAGCTGACTCCTTGATTCCCTTGAAGATCAGGTTTTTTCGCTTGGACTGTGCTTCCAAATGCTCCATTTTATCCGTTATGGCTATTAGACTCTCACAAGTTTTGTAGACATCATCCCTTGTTTCCTTGGTTTGTATTTTCTGTTCACCCATGGCTGCTTTAATCACATCCACATCTCGCTGGGTAAACTGCAAACTCGTTTTTATCTCCTGTATTTCTCTGGTCATGTCGTTGAGTCTCTTATTTGTCTCCATAAGTAGTTGCACAAAACCTTTGAAGTTGTCTTGTTGTTGGCTCAACAGTGCAGTGTACATCTGCTTTTGCTGACTCAACATCTCTGTTACTTGCGCCACTGAAATATAATTCTCTTCTGCTTCTGATTTATTAGCTCTTTTCCCTCTTGTAGGCATTTTAATAGTTGTAGAATTTGTTCAAAGACTTGAAAATGTAGAAGATGTGAAAAATCGTAGAACAGACAAGAGGAGCAGTAAAGACGTCTGCAAATAATATGAATTACTGCTGGGTAACTTGGGAATTTTCCACCAGAGATAAATAGGCTTATGATTATGCTGTAGTTTCTTTATTAATGTGATTCTGAAAAGTAACTAAAGTTATAAAATAAATGGAATGGAATAAACTGTTCAATATTTGTCTCAAAAATATTGTGAAGTTGAAGTAGCACAAAATGAAAATACCCCAATAAAGTACAGATACCTCAACATTGTACTTGAGTAAATGTACTTAGTTACTCTCCACCACTGTTACTTCCTATCAATTTAACAAACACCTGGTGCATCAGCACCACGCAAAAAGTCTGTAGTTTTAATGAAATAAACAAATGTTATGGAAACTGCAAGATGATTTTGAAACTAATTTACAAACAGATGTGATTTTAGAATGACAATCAATCAGTTTTATTGGCCAGGTGTGATGGACGTGTGTTGCACCCAAATATGTGCAACCAGATTTGATATTATGAAGACTGAGCCAAGGGTCAAGCTTTATTTTAATAACACTTTTAGAGCATGGATCTCCTTTAAATATTAAGAGCATAATTAATCGACATGCATGATATGTATTCCTGTATAAATCTGTCAGAAAGCTAGTAATCCACTGACAGGTGGGGACAGGCACAGTGAGCTGAAATAAACAAATGTTATGGAACCTGCTAGATGATTTTGAAATTGAAGCCAATTTAAAAACAGATGTGGTTATTTATAAAACAGTTGAGATGTAGTGTATAGATCTTTTAAAACATTATAGCCTATGTTTTATTTTTGTTGCTCATAGGATCCCATACTTTGAGACAAGTGCAGCAACAGGAGCGGAGGTGGACAAGGCGGTGATAACGCTGCTGGACCTGGTCATGAAGAGGATGGAGCAGTGCGTTGACAAACCGCCTGCTGATCCAGCCAGTGGGAACGGAACCACAAAGCTTAGTGATGCACAGCCCGGCGAGAAGAAATGTGCATGTTAGATCAAGAGGCGACTGAGGAAACGACCAGTCAGCTCTGCTGTCATTTTCTACTCAGCACATTCTCTCCCTCTTCTGCTTTCTCCTTCTCTGTCAAATTTGATTGCATGTTCCATCTTCTTTACTTCACTCCCTTTTTCTAAAACTAACCTTTAACATTTTTCTTTTCCTTCCTATATTCTTTCTTCTTTTCCCTGTCTTCCCTGGCAATGACACAACTCTACCCCCCTCTAGTGGATATTCAAGGTAAGACAGTCTCAGCCTGTCTGCCTTTGAGCTCTGTTTAGGAAGAAATGGGAGGAAATGAAAATAGGAGACAGTTTCATCACTGTCAGACACATGCTGTGCCTCGATTAAAACATGCAGCCTGGGAATTAAACTCTGCATGGTCCAACTTTATCTGCTCACAAGTGGTTTCAATGATTTAAATGGCCCTAAACTGACAAAAAAAGATGTTTAAACGTCAATTTGAGCTTTTTAAAAACTGATCTGTTGAGCACTTCAGAAATGAAAAAAGGTTGTACTTCATGTTTAGGCTGTCAAGCTGTTTGGGTCATAATGAGGTTATGTATCTGTGTAAACTAAGTCGGGGTCCTTTCCTAAAACTCTTCCTCCTGGACCAGGCTGAGCAACTGGGTGACTAATGTGTTTTTATTGTAAGTTTTTCACACTGTGTTCTATGCTGTACCTCTACAGTAAGTTTTTGGTGTTAAGAGCAATTTTATCTGGTTTACAGATGCTAAAAGTGCATGTTGGAGCTCTTCAGCACCTGGGAGGGGCTGTTTACGGTTTGTTGTGTAGTAATTGCGTTTAACCATACAGCTTGTCTGTCAGCTGTGATGACTTTTTCTGAATCATCAGTGATTTGCTTTTGTTTGGTCACAGTAACATACCCTTGTTATCAGCGAACACATTTAAGATACGTGTTGACATCTTAATCCACCATGAATTGTGCACATAAATATTAGACCTATTTTAAACTTTGGTTTTATAGTAAACAAAAATACACAGACTGCCCCCACCACAAAGAGTGCTTTATTTTTCATAAGCAAACTGGTCAGAGTATGTGCTTTTGCTTTTGGCCACTTATTCCCATATTGTGCCAAAACACTTGTTAAATTGAACCTTTGACACTAGCGTCACCTTGTAGTTATCAGAAACATGTAAACCCGCTGACTACACAGAACTGTCATAATACAGCTAACCATTGCTGACTTCATGTTTGCACAGTGATCAATTAGCAGGTAATGTAACTAGCTAGCAGCTAACAAGCTAATATTGAGTGTTAGCCACTGCTAAAATAAATTGGCATGTGGCACAAAAGCAGTTGATGTGTTATCACTAAACCTTTTCATATCATTCTTCTCACCACTGGCTGCTGTGCCTGTTGAGTCATTGCTTTCTATGGGATTACTTGACTGTGAAGCAGCGCTCATCCATCTGTCTCTGAATTTTGATACCAAAACAATGGCATGTTGTAAATTTGGCCAACATGACCTGCCCAGCTGTTCGTACACGACTGTCATACGATTTATTAAATATAGCAGCTTTTGGAATTTGGTTCTTTTTACACTACATAAGACACTTGTTCATGTCATTTTTCTAATTGTATGTATTGTTTCTGTTTCCCAGCCCTACACAACTTTGAAAAGTCAACACAGCAACAGCCTCCAAATTGCTAGCTCAGCTAGCTCTCTGTTAGCAGCCCAGTTGGTTATGGTGTGCTTTTGTACTGCTAACTCTCCGTTGGTCTGTCCTTCATAATGTTTTTAGATTTGCAGATGTTATGCTGTTTACATTCTAGGACGAATAAGGGTACAGCATAACACAAGTGCAATGGAGGAAAAAGCCAACATTGTGTATTATTAATAGAGTCCTAGACCAGCTTAAACATAATGTTCCAATGGATCTACTGCCTTCTTGTAAAGCGTTGTCACCGTGACTTACCAACATTTAACTGAAAACTAAATTGTGATTAAAAAAGGGTGTTTTACAGATTGGATGTATGAGTCAGTACAGATGTACAGAGAAAAATGATGAGGGCATAATCATATCTAATCAGGAAGATTAGGTTTATTTTCTATCATGATATTCAGGTGACATCAGATCTTCAGGGGAGCTGATCTGTTTTGCTTTAAGGCTCCATACATGACCAATGTTGTAAAATATATAGTGACCAATTATTTATATTAAAAGAAATTATTGAAACATAGTAATTATTTCTGTTGTCATTTCATATTTTTCTAGCATAGGCTTTATAGCTCACACACCTATTTCTGCTGCTTTTCTTATTGTCTGTCAAAAAAAAACTGCATTGCCAGCTGTATTTATACTTGTAATTTATGTTTTCATTGCTATAAAGTGCTCAAATGAACTCAAAATGACATTTAGCAACAAAATGTGTTTCCTACATGAAGAAAATACACTTTTCTACATCCTGGAACATGTATTTGCTTTGCTGTGAACTGGGTTTGTTTTTGGTTCAACACTTGACATTACTATGGACCAACCTTTTGTCACATCTGTTGCTTAACACTGTGTTTTCATTGAACAGATGTTGTGTGGAAAACCCAGTGAAATCCTGCCATACTGAAACTAAATTCCACAGAGAGGAGTGTAAAAGGCTCCGTGTTTAGTGCCCTGGTGCTGCACTTGAGCACAGCAAAAAAGATCAGTCGTTAGATGGACATTTACTTAAAAAAAGAAATGCACACTTTATTTAAATAGCAAATATCAGCTTTGGGACCAAATTATCTTTTTAGTTTTAAGTGCAATTAATTTTCCTCTTATCACTGATCCCTTCAACGTTAATCTGCCTTACATCATGAAACCACAAACAAGCAAAATGATCTTTTTGCATGCTATTTGATGAAAAAAATGATTCCCCCCCCCTTCAGTGAACCAGCTGAGACCCAACCTGCAGCTGTATAAGATAACTCAAAGGCTGGTTTGTATCAATAATATTTTTGCTCTCTGGATCTGCAAAAGGTCCTGAGTTCAAGTTCTCTAGAGAGCCTTGACTTCACCTCATCGTCACTTATTTGCCAGTGTGCCAAATTAAAAAAAGGAAACCGCACAAACAAGCATTTGTTTTAGACAAACCCCAAACCTTATTCTGCTTTTCCCTTGGAGGAAAATGTGTTTTTGCATTTGCTTTTTGTTGTTGTTTGCAAATAGCTGATCTCAGTGCCATATTAAACACTCACAAAGAGACTTGGACATAAAGAGCTGGCTCAACCTGTAACGTTCTCTCCCAGGGAGTTGGTCCCTGTGGGTTGGTTTGTACTGTTGCAGCTGATCATCTGCTTATATTTAGTTTATCTTTGTCTTTTATTCTGGCTGTAAACTATGTAATGTATGGGTTACATATTTCTAAACACTTTAAAAAGCATCTTAGTGAAATTCTCAACATACTGTAGGTTGAATTTTTTTTTTGCTCAGTCTTACAGTAGATGTAACAGTTCAAAGCAGCAACTACAATTGTCATTTTTGGCCACTTGTTAATGGAAAAAGATGAAAATAGCACTGAGATTATCGGCAAGTTGTTATGGCTAACATGTCGATGCAACATTATTTACCTATCAGTCAAATTTGTGGTCATCTTATGAAATTAGGTTCAATACTCACTTTCCTTTTAGCTCTGGTTTGTGTCTTCACAAACTCCTGAGAAAAAAAAAATCCGGTCTTTAGCAGCAAAATGTTCCATCTTCTTCACCAGTTAGTCGCCGTGTCTGTCTGCTGTGGACAGGTAGTGTACAGTGGTTTTATCAGAGCATGTTTTCTGAAAACCGCTGCCCAATGCTGCACTGACAAGTACTGTGACTCAACAAGTATCGAATTCATTATAGCTACTAGGTTTGCAAACTATCTAGGAAAGGTTTCTGTTTTTGGTAAAAATGGAGTGAAAGATATTTAAAGTATGAAGTATAAAAATCCTACTCGCCAACAAATGTCATGTAGCCTTGATAGTGATGACTGGCAGCTTCAGTAATGTTAATGAATGTATTTAGCAGTGAATAAATAGATACTCTAACACATACCAATGTAACTTAAAACTAAACGGCTCAGATCAAATAACGCGAGAAAATGAGACATGGTACTAGTTTTCATATTTGAGACTGATTTGTGACCAGATGGACAAACATTCGCCTTAAAGGATAAGGCTGTTCATTTTCTCTATTGACGGTTTTCTCAGTAGTCCCCATACAGAGACTAGAACCAGCAATGAACTGCCTCTACTCACTGTTGATATCTGTCAGTCTTGGATTAGCTGCTTTGTCTGTGCCGTAGACCTCTGCTGTTCTTCAGTAACAATTAAAAACACATCAGTAAAACACCGCTTGCACTGGATGATGTGTCCTTATTACAAAACACAACATCTTAATATTTGATGGAAAATGCTGATCTTGGGCATGGGCCCTTAACTCTTGCTTGCTTCAGATACTGTAATAAGTTATGGCTGTTCAAAGCCTTTGGGGCAACATTAAAAGAAAAGTATCTGGTGTTTCGTGATGAGGATTGTCACCCAATGCAGCAGTATGTTTCCCTGTGTTCTTAATCATTTTTGAACAACAAGGGAGATGTATGGCACAGAAGAATAATCTGATTTAGGAGTGAAAGACCTTAACTGTGAGAAAAAACAAATCTTTGCTGGTTTTAATTTCTATATGGTGATTGTTTTAAAATACAATTAAAACAAAAATGACCTTTTACCATCTAAACGATCTATGATCATCTTTCAGACTATGTCAGCTTTTATCTGAGCCTTATGTCTTAAGTTGCTCATCATTTTCTTCTTTGTTTCTTTTGAATTTGTAGACTATATTGGTCATCTGATGCCATTTTGCTTAAATGTAGTATCCAGTTGTGCTACAGTTGCATCTTGCACTGATACCACTGTCTTAAATCAAGTTTCTCTTAATGCATTTCTTCCATAAACTCTCTCAGCCTTTAATATAGTTTTAGAATTCATCTTGAAGGTTTACACAGTTTGAAGAGTCATGTTGTGCCTGATCCTCTGTGAAGTTTGTGAGCTATTGAATTCATTATAGATTACAAACTAGAGGCAAAAGAGAACCGAAGTCCTGCTGTTGTTTTTCTGCCTCATATATCAAAACATCAGTCTAAGTACCTCTTAAGAGCTTTTATTTTTGAAAATTCTGTGTGTGAATTCTCTCTGATGCCTGCAGTTTGTACATATTTGTCCAGTTTCCACTGTGTGTGTGATACCTGTGTGTTTGCACAGCCAGCATGTTGACGCCATGAGAATGAAACGACCTGTGATGCAGTTAGTGTTTATGATGTTAGAGCTGCACAATGATCTTTTTTTTTTGTCCATTTGGGTTTTTTTCCCTCCCAGAAGGAAGATGCAATTCAGTGTAGGCTACCTTTAAGACAGGAATGCTGTGCTGTAGCAGTTACTGTCAGACCGTAACCAAAGCTTTCTGACATACAGGAACCCTGCCCTAACAAACCACTGAGAGTGATAAGTATTCAGAAAAAGTATTTGCAGAATTACTTAGGACATTGGTTCAGCTTCTTTTGTCACATTTCATGAAGTGTAAATTTAATACTTCAGTTGTTTTTGACAAAGATGCTCAAGTGTCCAGTTAAAGTAAAAATACATTTGCCCTTGACAGTTGTAAAATGTATAAAATAGATGGGATTTTGGTTTTATGGAAGTGTTATAATCTTAACATGTATGTTTTGATTATCTTTGTAGAGTCAGCTGTTTGCATTTTACCTAGTCAATGTATTTGTTATAGATGATTGATTGACTTTGCATTAAATTTATCCAAGCATTGTGAGACCTGACGGCTCATTAAAGATGGCTTAATACTGTAAGAACTTTGGAATCTATTGTGTTTGTTCACTTTGCTGTATGTGTGTGGATGCAGTTGGTAAATCTCACTATGCTTACTGATTCAAATAAAAAGGAGTTTGTTCAGTTCTTGTAGATGCCATGTTCAGAAATATCTCTGTGCTGCTTTCAGAGTCAGTCAGAAGCTGGAAATCCCCCGTCTGGTAAGCTTGATTTCACTGTTTGTAGGAACAGACATGGGCAACAGAAGGCACAACATGAACTGCAATTTTCAGTTAAAATTTCTTCACAAGAAACACAACACCTCACAGCATGTATGGTTTAATTTTCACGTTTCTAGCACATGTAAGTTTTCACTTTTAATCACTACTAAGAAAGAAATCTCCTGGCCTTTCCTCTAGCACTGTGACCAGGCACACATCTCTCCTGGAGCACACGGGTGGCTTTCTTTGAAAACGTTTCTGACAGGAAGTGTCTATATTTTGTCCTCCCCAGCTACATACATGAGAGGGCCAGAATACTAGGAACGCCTCTGAATATAATGCAGTCCAGTACAACACCACCTTTAACTATGACCTCAATAATAAACATATAATAGAATTTATACATTTGACAATTTCACCAAAAACTGAAACGTTATGAGCTTCATAAACAGAGGTGTTAAGGTGGAAGTGTTACACTGGACTGCATACAACAGGTGTGACTATTAAAGTAGCCTGGCACTATATTTTACCTCATAAAGCAAATGCGCACACACACTAGCCAGAATTCACAGTGTAGAATTTATTTGCATTTTGTACTAAGAAACTTCTCACCAAAAGAGAGAATATGAAAAACAAAAATAAATACCCAAGAAAACTAGAACCAGTAGAATGTGAAGTGTAGTTACAAAAATAAGTCTGTTTACTCTTTTTACATCTGTAGACACCATCGTGGTCTCTTGTTATGAGGAAAAAATTAACAACAAACAAACCTTAAGTGACACTGCAGCAATTATATATTCCCAATAGCTGAGATAGGAGACTTTCATAGAGAAAACGTATAATTTGTACATGTCTCCAAAAACAAAACACACCAACAAATGTAAACATAAGAATCCAAAAAGCATCTAAATATTTGCTTAGGTGTTTCTAACAGATATAAAAGATTAAAAAACAAACAAACATAAGCTTAATCAGAAGAAGGAAGTAAGGTTCTTCCAAATTAAAGTATTGATGAGCTCTCTGTCCAAAATTTACATTTGAGAATTAAACCATCAAATGAGCTTGTGTTAATTTAATGACCCAAACATTTGTGTCATTGCACTTCCCTTACTTTTCCAAGTCATTTCCCTCAAAATAAGAGCCTATAGAACATTAAACAGATGGCAAAGAAAACATATATTATATAATCTGTTTCCAACAGTAAAATGTTCAGTTTTTTTCCTCTTTGACACTTGAACATGCATCTTGTATCTAAACTGTACTTATACATGTATTTACAGTAGGATACATAAAATATCTCAGTTGCAGTTTTTCAAAATTTAAAAGCTGTATTTTAAATAAACACATTGCTGTCCATCATGTACATGTTTATTTTTGTCTAGTTTGACTAAATTTGGATAAAATACAGTCAACCCAAGATGTCCATTAACACCAAGTGCAAAGGAAGGGAGAATTGATAAAAATGTTATTCCTTAAATCTTATTTTATATGCAGATACTGTATGTGGCAACCTGACACACCCAAAATGGAACTCTAAAATCATCCTCTAAAGTTTTGTTTTTCCCAGAACGCAATTGTAAGTACAAAAAAATTCAATAAACCTAAAATTTTAAAAATTAACACAATTATTCAATATAAATAATCTCAGTTCTTTCTGTGTTACTTAACACAGCTAGAATCATAAAGATCCCTCCTCTGCGGTTATTCCATATTGTGTACCATTATCCTATATAATATGTCAACACAGAGTGTAAGATATGGTCAAATACTGTAGATGAATGTTACACAAGTTAAACTAAACATTTTCTGACATGGAAAATCCCTCCTTGAAAAAGAACTGTCAGCAAAGCTCCATTAAAAAAAAAAAAAGTTTCCATTACACAAGAAACCAGTTATTTTTCTAAAAGTTCAAAAATGGAGTGAAAAATACATCACATCAGAAATACCATCAAAAGTACCATCAAACTGAAGTCTGTCAAATTTAAATGTCCATTTGGACTAGGAGCTGGTTGGCGTATGAAACACCCACTCCACAATATACTTCTGTCTGTTTAAAGTTCATTCCTACAGACTTCAGTTATTTCATGTAGCAAGAACAAGAGCACATTAAAAATCGCCAGGCACCTTAATAAGATCTTTATCTTGTCATTATTGTCACCACAGTAGGCCCCCCCCTTTACTCTACTGTACTCTTTGGCAAACAAGCAGACCATGATTCTATTTATAAGATAAGGTCGCTTTTTCTTTATATTAATAGTGAAACACTCCCCATACAGACTAAAACCAAAAATGAATCTCCTCTTCTTATAGTTCATGTCTGTCAGTCTGTTAGTCCTGGATCAGCTTCTTCGTCAGTGCCATTGACCTCCATTGTTGTTCAAAAACAGTGAAACACACTGCTGCACTCGGTGGCATGTTTCCTTATAAGATCCTAATATTTATTAAAAATGTTGCCTCAAAGGCTCCAAACAGCCATAATGTTTAGTGTTCGATGTAAGCAAGAATCAGCTGTGCATAAACGAGATATCTGGATATTGTTAGGTTATTTTTTAGTTAGATAGATATTCAGAGATTTGTTGTCTAGGAATGTTTAGTGTAGACAGGGTGACTAGCTTAGGCTGTTAAATGCAAGGTTATTTGTCTCTGGACTTGAAGTGTTAATTCTTGCCTGTGACTTTTTGAATAAACCAGCACGGTTATATTTTTTATATACTCAAGTGGTCTGAGTCGTCCCTCTGAGTTCCTGGTTTGAAAGAACCGGATGAGGCTTTATAATGGGTTACAGCCTCACAATATTCTTAACCAATATTAGGTTCTTGTGTTTGAAATGAGGAAACATGTCAGCCAGTGCAGCGGTGTGTTTTACTAATGTGTTATCAATCATTTTTTGAACAACAACAGAGGTCTACAGCACAGACAAATGCACTATGCAGGTCTGGAGAATGATGGGCATTAACAGTGAGTAGAGGCAATTCAGTGTTAGTTTTAGTCTCTGTATGGGGAGTGTTGAAAATACTGTTAATATAGGAAATGACCGGCCTTATCCTTTATAGTTTTATGTTCAACATAAAAATAAAAAGTATATATTCACCTTACAGTGCGCCTCCTAGTGTTGTAATTTCTTCTGGTCACCAGGAGAGGGTGGTAAGTATGTAAAAACATTTCTTAGAAACTTCCCAGGAAAGATCTATGTAATTTGTTATGGATTATAAGCGGCGAGTTTTTAGTCAGTGCATAGTAGGTATGTTAGATAAATTTGTTTACAGGGAAGTAAACAATTCATTTGTACAGTATGTGCTGAACAGGGAAATCAGTTTAAAAAATGCATGAGAGAATGAGGGAATTAACCTTTCTTAAATTTTGAGATCACAAAAGACAACACTGACTGGAGTCTCTTTATTAAAGAACTGTAGTGGTGGAAGGTTTGAAAAATGTTTGATGTCAGCACACGCTAACTGCACTATCAGTGTAAAGAAGACTAAGAATGTGGAATGTGATTGTTTAGACTTTGGAGACATTTGCTTGCTGATCCTCATCTTCGTCATCAGTGTTCAGGTCTAACTTCAGGTTATCGAGAGTCTGACGAATCGTCAGTGTGTCTTTACGCCTGTAGGAGAGATGATGGTTTATGTTTAGCCATAGAAATTACATGAATGTACTGTATGTACAAGATATGGACATAAATATAAATAACACTAAGGTAAGAGAAAATGTGTATTTCTTCATAATAATATGGATGAACTGGCTCTTTAAACTGTTGACAGGATACCTGCCTCTTCTGAGTAAGTTCTGCCCTGGTGTAGCAAACATAACCCCACTTAAAGTAACTATAAAATTGTTACTAATACAGTACTTTTAGGCCTAAGGGTGGTGACTGCTTAATCCTCAAATTTTCAATGTGTGTATGTGTTTGTGTACTTTGACTGCAGATGCTGGTCGAGCAGCTGCCTCTGCAGCCGGCCGGTGGTCTCCCTCTCCTCAGCCAGCTCCCTCTGGGTGTGGCGGTACTGTGTCTCCTTCCTGCTTGCCTCCTCCTCTGCCTCATTCAGCTGACGCTTCAGAGTACGGATCCTCTGGTTCATCTGAAGGACCAGTCACAAAACTGAGTTCAGTTTGGAACTAGATGGACATATTAACAGTTACACATTTCATTTGATGTACCGGTTGTCAAACACAGCATTTCTTTTCATGTAAATGAGTCATTATGTCATTGAGATCACAAAAGACAACACATCTGTGTGAGTTTTACTGAATCTTACTGTATGTTGCTTCAATGTTGGTGTGGTTTAAGGATAATCACCTTTATTGGCTAAGTATGTTACACACAAGGAATTTGTTTCTGGTACAAAACCGATGGCAGCCATCTGCGGCGCCACCTCAACCGATGGCTC